GGTTTTACCCTCTGGTTAACATACACAAAAACTATGGCATATCACTGAATATCACCATGCTATTAATGGGCAATAGTATGGTTTTACCCTCTGGTTAACATACAAAAAACTATGGCATATCATTGAATATCACCATGCTGGACCATGCTATTAATGGGCAATAGTATGGTTTTACCCTCTGGTTAACATACAAAAAACTATGGCATATCACTGAATATCACCATGCTATTAATGGGCAATAGTATGGTTTTACCCTCTGGTTAACATACACAAAAACTATGGCATATCACTGAATATCACCATGCTATTAATGGGCAATAGTATGGTTTTACCCTCTGGTTAACATACAAAAAACTATGGCATATCATTGAATATCACCATGCTGGACCATGCTATTAATGGGCAATAGTATGGTTTTACCCTCTGGTTAACATACAAAAAACTATGGCATATCACTGAATATCACCATGCTGGACCAGGCTATTAATGGGCATGTATGGTTTTTACCCAACCCTCTGTTAACATACGAAAAACTATGGCTATCACTGAATATCACCATGCTGACCATGCTATTTATGGGGCCATAGTATGGTTTTACCCTCTGGTTAACAGACACAAAACCTATGGGCTATCACGAATAGCACCAAATCTGGACATCTATTATGGGCATAGTATGGTTTTACCCTCTGGTTAACATACTACAAAAACAGGCATATGACTGATATCACCATGCTGGACTCCAAATGCTATTAATGGTCAATAGTATGGTTTTACCCTCTTGTTAACATCCACAAAAACTATGGCATATCACTGAATATCACCATGCTATTAATGGGCAATAGTATGGTTTTACCCTCTGGTTAACATACACAAAAACTATGGCATATCACTGAATATCACCATGCTATTAATGGGCAATAGTATGGTTTTACCCTCTGGTTAACATACACAAAAACTATGGCATATCACTGAATATCACCATGCTGGACCATGCTATTAATGGGCAATAGTATGGTTTTACCCTCTGGTTAGCATACACAAAAACTATGGCATATCACTGAATATCACCATGCTGGACCATGCTATTAATGGGCAATAGTATGGTTTTGCCCTCTGGTTAACATACACAAAAACTATGGCATATCACTGAATATCACCATGCTGGACCATGCTATTAATGGGCAATAGTATGGTTTTACCCTCTGGTTAACATACACAAAAACTATGGCATATCACTGAATATCACCATGCTGGACCATGGTATTAATGGGCAATAGTATGGTTTTACCCTCTGGTTAACATACACAAAAACTATGGCATATCACTGAATATCACCATGCTGGACCATGCTATTAATGGGCAATAGTATGGTTTTACCCTCTGGTTAACATACACAAAAACTATGGCATATCACTGAATATCACCAGGCTGGACCATGCTATTAATGGGCAATAGTATGGTTTTACCCTCTGGTTAACATACACAAAAACTATGGCATATCACTGAATATCACCATGCTGGACCATGCTATTAATGGGCAATAGTATGGTTTTACCCTCTGGTT